GGTCACAGACATATTCTGCCAAGATGCAATACAAACAAAGTTAAAAAAAAAAAAAAAAATGTTTCTCCCAACTTCCATAGCTTCAACTGAACCATCTGAGGCAGTTTACTTTGTTTGCTCAGCATATTGTTTACATAGGGCATGTGAGTTGTGAATGTCATGATCCGTATGTGTCTGTTTACTCATTCACCGCTGGATATACAAAGAACGGTCTGTCTGGTATAATAAAGTTTATCTCAGGTTGTTTCTGTGTGGCTAATTTATATTATTAGCTCCATCATACAAAGCTGTTACCGTGGTGTTGGTTTACTTTTGGAGAGTTTGGCAAATAAGCAGGACATTCTCAGTCCTGGTCCAAATCACGAGAGATAGCAAGGGGAACATTTTAAATCAATGGGATCCAATTTCCTTCAGAGCAGCTCTATTTTAGGCTCAGTCGATAAAGTCTCGATAGAAAGAAGTGCATTTACACACTTGCAGGCCAATTTGATTTCTTTCCCTGTCATGAGACCTCTGTCAAAACACTTCCTGAAGGTACAGATGAAAGGAAGTCTGGCATCTGCTGTTGGTGAAATAATTACATTTTGAACCAAAAGAGTTCATGGCAAAGGGCGGGATATTATGACAAAGTGGAAATAGGGCCACCATCGGATGCTTTAGTAAGGAGAAACAAATGTGAGAGAAATATGTAACCGAGGCTGGTGAAGCAGATGCAAGCTAAAGCTGCAGGTGGCTACGTAGTAAGATAAAGGTTTATAAAGTCCTCTGGATGAAAATAACTAGATTAATAATCACAAAATGTCACTTTGAAATGCTTCATTTCAGATTCTCCGGTGTTTAGAACTGACATTAAATGGATTTTAAGATGGATTATTATGCAAATTCAACTTTTTTGAGCTTGATGTCAAGTTATATTTTACCCTCATCAGAAACATTCCTGGATTGTTGCTTTGATTTGAATTCAAGGATTGATTTGAATCTTCCATGGCAGTCATTAGGATGTGTGTAACCGTTTGCTCTTACAAACCATGTCACAAAACCCAAACCTCCTTGAGCTCAAGGTCAAAAACTGACGGATGGACAATGTCCTTCAGGACTTTCTATTAGAGCAGAATTCAGATCCACAAATTACACCAAGTTGTCCATGCCCTGAAGCCATAAAGAAGCCCCAGACCATCACACCACCATGTTGGCCTGCTCTGATTTGATAGTCAACCAAATACCTCCTTAAAAAATTTAGGGACCATCTACATCTCTCTTAGCATATACACGAGACACGAGACATGCCTTTGTGATATTGTTGGTCAACGGTGGTTTTGGCCTGAGAATTTTCCAACAACTGACTTCCTTATTGTTGAATCATAAAAACTGACCTCATCTGTGGAAAGTGAGGTCTGTGTGGCTTTAGACGTTATTAACATATCAAGGCCATATTGATATGTAGACTGTTGTAGACTGGCCACTCATGGGGAGGTTTAACACTTCATTTGCGTAGCTATGGTTTGTTGGAGTAGATTTGCCTACTTCCTGCTGTCAGACAGGTGCTATTTGAGTTATTTTCTGCTTCTACATTTAATCTGGTTGTCTTTGTCTGCTGTTAACATTTGCTTCATGGCCTGAAACATTTGAGGGTGGTAAAAAGAAAAAAGAAAAGCAAGACAGAATAAATCTGTATGGGGATACATACTTTTTCACAGCGCTGCAAGTCACTGCTGTCACATCAAGCAAGCCATTTTTGCAGCTTATGGGGAAAAAGGCCTCCAGATGAAATGGAACAAGGAAAATGCCTGTGTGAACGCTGGTTGTCTGTCAAAGCAGGAACTGGGAGGCGTTCAGGGCTGACCTCTGAGGGCAAGGACTTCCCAAAACCCCTCTGCAAAACAACTGTCGACCCGGCAGCTGACAGAGGGACACAGACCACTGTTGCCGCTCTGCACTGCCTGCCTTCAAAAGTCACAATCCCCCCCCCAATCATTTCATCTTTCTCCTGAGCACCATCAACCCAGGCAAGAAATTGAAACCGTGTGAAACCACGAGCAGTGAGAATGAAGACTAAGAAGCAGATATTACCTTGCCGATATGATCTGTCTGGAATGTGGCAGTGCCGCAGTGAATTTGAACAGACATGCTTCTAATGTCACACACAACAACAGGCGAGTTAAGCAGAGCAGTGCGGTACTGACCTGAGTGCATGAGCCGTTTTCAGAATTACACAAAGCATACGATTCCTGTACAACTTGCATGATTCATTCAGATGACTTACAGGGCCTTGTGAAAGTATGCATGTTCCTTAAACTCCTAAGGATTTTGTCGTTTCACAACACAAAGCTGAATACAGTAAAAAGTGTGAAGTGCATGAACCTCCTGTTGTTGTTGTCTGTTATGCAAAGCTACATAAAAACAAATTTATTAGGGTTTTAATGAAGAATAGTGTCTAATGGGGGAGCAAAATGACCACACATGAACTATGCATGAGCTCCTGGCCAGAAGACCTCGATCCCTCAGTTGTTTTCATGTTCCCTGTGTTTTTACTGGCCATTGTTCAAAAATAATAATAAAAATAAATTTAAAAAAAAGTAAGTAGGCCACTCCCACTGAGCACTACAAACACCCACCTCTGGAACATTAATCAAAAGAGATAAACCTCAACCAAGTGATTCATTCGAACCACAACTGTTTTCCTTTTTTTCTTGTTCTTGCACTGTGGAAATGTGGCGTGTGTGAAAATTGACTACACATGTCCCCTGTGCTGCTGTCACATGCTCGAGGGGGGACACAGCAAGTTTATACCAATCATGTGGGATGCTGGAGAGTTGTGAGTCACCGCGGGGACCTAATCGGGTTTGTAAACAATTAGACAGCATTTAACAAGAATAGGGCAAGCGTGCGAGTGTATGGAAACATTGTGGCCCATGTTCTCCAGAAGCAACCAGTGGGGTTGCTGCTTTGCATGCAATTTGCATAGCCAACCTGCAGCAGTGATAACCAGTTTTTTGTTTTTTTGAACTATCAGCAGCTCTGAACTTACATGTTTTGATCATCGGAGGTCACACACAACTTGTTCTTAATACAATGACCGAGTGTTTCTCTAAACACGTAATACCAAACACTGGTCCAGTCTTTCTCAGGAGGAAGGAGTTGCATATTGACAAGGAAGGTGTTGTTATAGATTAAAAAGCGTTGCCACTGTAGGAAATAATCTCCAAACTGTAGCAGCTTTGTAGAAGGGGAAAAAAAACACATTCCTGACATTTCCTCCTGGCGGTATAATAACCCAATCAAGCTTGCTACCCAACACACCTCCAGGCTGGAATGTTTGAGACATCCGAAAATATCCCAAGCATTAAACTAACTACGTCAGATGACAGCAATACTGGTGAGTAAATACCCCTGATTGTCCATAGTATGGCTTTAAGTGGAAGGAATTTCAGACAGATTATCACATTTACAAGTCTGCCTGCTCTGGACACCATCTCATGACTCTGTTTTCTGGCTGAAGCAGTGTTTGTGTGCTTGTTTTTTTTGTTTTGTTTTTGGGGTTGGTTCACAAGGGTGAGACGCAGGGTGAGAACGCCTCAGAGTGCTGCTCTCTTGCCTACAGGCCAGTTTTCCCTCCCTCTTGTTGTTTATATGAAGTTCTGAAACCAAGCAGGTTTTTCCCCTCCTCTTACTATTGCAGCTGCCAATCCATACCGTCCACATGGGTCTCTGTGTAAACATGGTTCCAGCTCTAAGTGGAAAACAATGAGGAAATGACAGGATAGTGGGCCGCATTGAAGACATTCAAGGATGGATTTCCAAACGAAACACATCGAGATGACATCATGGTAAAGTCAGCTTGCAGGGAATATGGAGGAGGTGGGTGGGGAGCAGAGGGAGAGCAGTAATGCAACACCATACATAAACAACAGACAGCTGTATTTATAGGAGATTGTCTTATGGTTCTATCTGCCTCCATAAATCCTATTATCTGATTTGCAGCCGTTCTCCTGCCCAGCACCCGACAGGAGGCGCAGCTTTGTCTTCCCAAAACAATCAAACCGCGTGCAATTTTCACCGTTGCTGTGAAAGAAACCGGTCGCATCTCAGCTCGATTAGACGTTACCTCATCACAGCCAGATAATGCAAAATCATATCCGAAAGCCCGTTCATCCAAATCACAAACAGCTGTATGGATTTATTCAGGCCTAACCCCCAAATTATGATAGGACCGCCACTTTGTAAACGCAAAGCTAATGTTGTGAAGATCATTGTATCCCAAATGGGTATATTCTGTAGATGTTTCATTTAAACATTTCATATACAATATTACATAAAAAATACAATTAATTATATATAATAATACACATGACATTACCTTAAATTCAGTTACACAGCATGTTACTGAATGTTGTGAACTTAATCATTTTCTACAAATAATTGTTTGTAGCAAAGGATGTTTCTAAAACTAACACTTTTTTTCTAACATCAACATGTAAAAAGGTCTGTTTTCTCCTGCTTGATTAACTGATTAGCAAAAGGTGTTTAATGGATTTTCTAAGCACAGTTTGAACCAGTTGATGCCACAACTTAGCAACAACAAAATAGTTTTGTTTGCTTTTTATTTATTTATTTTAAATGTAAAAAAAAGTATTTCTTTGTAGCTTTGACTTAATATGCCATCCTTTCTGTAAGCGTCCCCTATGTGAGTCTGTTTGCTCCAGTTAACGATTAACTTTTACTGAATTAGCTGCTGATTATTTCAATCGTCAATCGATTCATCACGATTAATCGCCTCAGTTGTAGCTTAAAGCGTGATTGAAAGATAAACAGATGTTTTGTGCAGCAGGAGGCAGAGTGAGGTGCACCTGCTCCAGTGTGACACCACTTATCTGAGATGCAGATGAGATACAAACACAATTTGACAAAAAGAGGCAACAAACCAAAACATTTAAAAACTGGGTTACTTCTGTGCCAAACTTCTAAACACAGAAACTCCAGCGGAAGCGAGTTTCACTCACATATCTCCTGAGCTTTTTCTCCGGGGGTGATTTCCTCAGCCAGCCCTGAAAGATGATTTCTCCTCCGCTCATGTTTGCCCAAAGTGCGTCGCGGCTGCTGCTGCTCCTTCTTCTAATTCTTCCGCTTCTTTTTGCTTTCAAAGTGCAGTCTGCCACTAATGCATGAGGACTCGCCTGCTCAAAGCGCTGCTGTCGGCTCTCGGCTCTCTGTGCTGCAGTCCGCTCCCCCCATTTGAAATCACAGCAGGGGGGGGGACAAAGTGGGAGATGGAGAGCAGCGCAAAAATATCTGCCCAGGCGCTCAAAGCCACTGCCAAGCGGAGTCTGGGAGCAGGCACGGCCGGGTGACGGTGCTCCGCGCGGGGAGGAAACTAGTCAACTCCTACGGGGCGAGGAAGTATGTGTGCGTCTGCAGTTTGTTTTCCCGACTCAAGCCACGCCCACCGCACAGAGAGAGGGATGGGCCGCTGGGATGAACAGGATGGAGGAACAGCTTGCTTGATTAAAATAATAATAATAATAATAATAATAATAATAATAATAATAATAATAATAATAATAATAATAATAATTAAATGGTGTGGGAGAATATAACAATAATTTTTAAGCCAGACCTTATAAAAAAAAAAAAAAAAAACATATTTTCAAAAACGTTTATACCCAAAAAGAAGCTGTTTTACGCTTTTTGTGGAAAAAAATTCTACTTTTAAAAGGTTGCTTAGTACTTCCCACAACAATAGTTTTATATAATAATAATAATAATAATAATAATCAAAGCCTCCCGACTGAATACAATGTCGCATCCTGTCATTGGATGAAATATGATAAAGCACCCCCTAGTGGAAAGTTGACAGCAGCTTGTAAATACACTCACCCTCCCCCAGAGTTACCCTTTCAACTTTTCCACTTCATTAAATCCTAACAAAACCCCCGATGGACAAAAAGTTGGGAAAATAGAGAAGTTATTCAGCCCCCTTCGTTCTGATACCGTGAAATAAACTTCAATGCAGCCAAATTTAAGAAGTCTTTCAGTTTCATTATGAATGGAGGTGTTCTGTGGAAGATTGAAATAAAAGGCTTGTTAGTGGACAAACAGCCTTGGAAAAGTCAAGGTTGTGCAAACATTTAAAAGATGGTTCTGTTTTAAAACAATTAAAAATGTCAAATATTTAGAAAACACTTTATCACTTCCCTTCTACTTCACAGCAACACTACTTTATTTTATTACAGCTATAAAAGTTTAATAAGACACATCCAAAACATATCGTATCTAACGCTAAAATGAAGTGATTCAAAAAATATATATTAGAATATGAAAAAATGTAGAGGTGTTGCATACATATATATATTTTTTAAAGATACTGTCCAATGTTGAAAGAAAAAAAAAAGCTTAGTATCTAGTATCAATCAAGCTTCCCAATAATGTTTTATAAATAAATCCTGAGTTTAAATGTCATAGCTGGTGTGTAAACCTCAGAGAGTTTGGGAAAGCCTCAGATATCTAAATATACAATATACAAAATAGTGATGAACACACATGCCTTTGATATTGTAAATTTTATAAATGGCAGAAACATTTACATGGATACAACAGCTTAGACAAAAAAAAAGTTGTGTTTATAGGAGGCAAGAATGTGAAAATCTTGGGAAAGGAATCACATCTTTAATGTTGTCAACTCCAAGAATGCACTGCAAATAGCGTTCAAATCCCAGTCCAAAGCCACCGTGGGGGACGGAGCCAAAACGCCTCAAGTCCAGATACCTGCAACAAAAATACAAAAAAATACTAAAAAACACATAACATCCACTTTTTTTAAAAAAAATATATATATATATTGGTAATACAAATGTGTTGATTGTTTTATTAATTTTACCAGTTGTATGTATCCTCTAGTCCAACCCTGGAAAAGAGAAAGTGATAACATAAATAAACAAGTCAAAGGAATCAACATCAGCACTAAAAAATGCATTTATACATGCAAATAGTTATATAGTCACAGCTACATAAAACAGTTAGACACTAATGTTTTTCTTCATTTTGCAAAAAACAGTCTATACACTATGCATTCTTATATAGTGTTTCTTTAAATGTCCAATGTGCAACACACTTTTTGAAGTGGAGACTGCAGAGAATGCACAGGCTAGTTAGCATAGCCACAGCTGCATTGTATACGTAAGCATGACTGACAGCGCCAAGACCCTCCCCCTGGCATTGATTGGGTGTTTCTACCTGGCAGTAGTGGATTTCTGCAGATGGCAGAAGCACCACAGGAAGGAGGCAGAAAAGCTAAATATTTTCACTGTTTATTTGTCTCATGCTAAACTGTCAGAACAGACTGATTTTTAACAAATGTAAAAAACATATTGTTTATCAAGGTTACCTACTGCAGCTCTAAATATTTCCAAGAACTTTCAATCAACAAACAGCACAAAATTCAGAGCATTTCTTCCTATAAGCCATCTGTTATTCTAATCATCCATGAAATGTTTTGTAGATTGATGCAAACCAAATATTTACTGTATCACTGCCTTCCCTTCTGTGTGCATTCTCACCGTTTCAGCCGAGCCATCAGCAGATTCAGCCTCTCCTCTCTTAGCGAGCCCCCGCAGAGCTCTCCAACTCCTGGCACAAGGAGGTCCACTGCAGCTGCCTGCGCACAAAAAAATCAGCTAAGATATGCAAATCACTGCTATGGCCCAACTGGGATAAGAAGGAAACTGTGACAAGTCTCTGCATTCCTATACAATACAACCAGTTCTTACTGTGTGCTTGGGACGATCCTGATTGTCTCTTGCGTAAAACGGCTTCAGGTCGTATGGATAATCAGTGATGAAGACCGGAACGTTTCCGCAATGTTTCACCAAATACTTCTCATGTTCTGTCATAAGGTCACAGCCCCACTGCAGAAAAAACAGCAAAGTTCAGAGAGGACATCTGTGGCTTGAGCAGCAAACATTGTGTAAATGCGGGAAAAATAAATAAATGATCCCACTTACATCTGTGGGGAAGGTAAATTTCTCAGAGCTGCGGTGTAGGATATCTATTGCCTCGGTATAACTAATCCTTTAAGAAGATAGCATCACACAGTCAACCTTGAAGATTTGACATTATTTTTTTTCCAGTGATTCAGCTTTAACATAAACAACAAAAAAAACACTCACACAGGGAAGCTCTTGTTCAGCATGGCCTCTACTGTGTCCTTGGGTTACATGAATGCAGCAGAAACAGAACGTTATCAGAAGCTATAATGAAAGCCCAAACAGTTTGGAGCGAAGATCCAGGTTGTGAGCGTCCTTCAGGACTCACCCTGTGTCCGGGAGTCACATGGCGGTGAAACAAATCCACGTCCGCCGCACAGCTAGCCAACACGCGCTGGGTGGCAGACCTGAACACGTCCTCCATGACCTACACAGCAGCACAGGTTTAATAATTAAAGTTTTCATGTGCGGCTGCTAACAATGATAACTTTGGAAGTCACACTGGGAATTTTTTTTTTTTAAACCCCAACTTAGTTGATTCGTCTTAGGAGGCAGTGGGTGTTGGTTTGAAGACACAAACCAAATGCTTGATTGATGAAACATGCAATTTCAAATATAATGCAACTTTAATTTAACCTGCGTCAACATCATACATAAAATTCCAAATATAGACATACATATTCACCTACGTTTGATTAATTAAGCAACTTTCAGGGAATTCAGAGCTGGATATTTGAACACTTTGGTAGTCTTCATTTATATTTTCTTCTTTAATGAACCTGGCTTTTAAGCACAGCTCATGGATTTTTCATCCAGCTGAAATCGGGGCTTTGAGCATCCAGAAAGCCTTGCAAAAGTAGTTTTAATGTCTTTTTGAGATCATTTTCTCGTTTCAATCATCGATCCTCGCCAGATGAAAAGAATATCTAACATCCACACAGGAAACACAGAGAAAATGTCTTCAATATTGGAGTTATCGCACAAGAGAAAAAACTGAGCTGCTTCAATTTCAATTCGGAAGAATTTTTCCAAATTCTTCAGACTTACTTCTAAATAACAGCCAGAGTAAAAAATTGACTTTCTCTTAAGAGGAAGCTAAAGCTATAATTAATAAAACTAATAAATATTAATAACACCGTTTGTCATTTGAATTTCTGAAGATCAGGGAGTGATGTATTATTTTTTAAGCCCAGTGTGTTTCAAAGTGGGGGTTGCGGTCTCATAGGAAGCCATCAGGGGGCGATGTGGATGCCTCCAAAAGTTTTAACAATAATTTTTTAATTACAAAATGTCATTTTGTGTCACTATGACAAAACATAACTTAAAGTAACTTATTGAAATGTTAGTTGCCAGGTTTATCTTTCTGATTGTCAGTCACATGTATCAAGCTGCTTTGCTCATCAAACTAGCTTACAAGGCACAAAACGGACAAGTTGCTGACAAGAAAAAGACCGAAGGAGCCGCCCAGCAGCCTCACTGTGGAGAAAACTACAGCAATAAAATCCTAGCAACTCATCGCCAACTAAAATCAGAAGGTATGAGAGGCATTGATGCTGAATAAAAGAATAAAAATGCTTCTTTGCATATTCTGTAGCAATATTTTTGTTTGTCTGCAAAGGGAGTCGCTGTCCAGAAGCTAATGCTGTTTGGGGCTTTGAAGCTTTGGATCCCCTGGTTTAACCTGCCTGATGTTGTTTACTTTAAGTAACTGCTTGTTCTAAGTAATCAAGCTTCATCTGAAAGCGAAGCATTAATACATTTAATTTATCATTCAACAATGGGTCAGCTTTGTTTAAACAGCTTTTAATTATCTTATAAATTCAATTTTTCAAAATGTGCAAGTTATGTCTAGTCAGGTTTATCTATGTGGGATTGATTGATGATCCAAACTATTTCATTGCATCAAAAAAGAAGAAATCTGTCAGCGGTTTGAAACGTGGACACATTTTAATGTTCATACAGGATATCTAATCTGTCAAATCTATCGAAATCAAAAGACGTACAAAAAGTTTTCAAATAAGTGAAGAAGGCTAGTCCAGTTCTTTCAAGCTACAGCAGCATTTAGGTGCATCCCTTCCATAAATTTAAACTTAATGAGCTGACTGACATTCTCATGATTTAATCCAGACATTTGATTCACTTGTGTTGAACCAGGAAAACACCTAAAACATTTTAGATCCCAGCTCTGTCATAAATATTCAAAGCTACAATTTCTCTGGTGTAAACTTACATAAAAATAAGAATGTGGGTGTTTTTATCACTTAAAGTCACAGACCCTGCCATGTTCTGTGGCTGCTGTAGCAGGGATTAAGTTAATTATTTTCCACTGTTACATGGTCAAGTACATCTGTAATCACGTCTGTTTTCAGATTTTTGTCTGCCGTCTCAACCTT